GGCAGTGGGCTGATGAAAACTACTGAAGATATTAAAAAACAAAATTAAAATGGACATAACATTAAACAAGAACTTCTCCCAGTGTGCTAATCAGGTCTGTTCTAGCACTACTTCATTACTAGTTTTTTGGGGGTTTGTTTTGGGGTTTTTTTTTTGTTTGTTTTGGTTTTTTTTTTGGGGGGGTGGGGGTGCAGCATTTGTCTGGGTTTTTTCTTTTTCTGATCTACTTAAATCCCTGTTAAACTAATAGCTAGGAATGGCTAAATTTGAGGGCACAACCACCCGTCTCTCCCTCTCTGGGATCCTGTGTGTCAGATCCAGAGAGCCTACAGCTCACACCTCACCCCATCTATGTGACATCTGCTGTGCAGAGTCATGCAGGTGAGAAAAGCTCTAGTCTGACACTGTGATACGACTGACCGTGCCAGATGTGGGATGCCACATGAGCTGATGCACACGGTCTCAGTGCTGGGGAAAGGGCACTTGTGAGCCTCGATACCTACAGAAGCTGGGCTCTCTTCAGTGCTATTGTTCTCCATTCGTTAGCTCCTGCTAAAACTGTTGTAAGGCAATCACAGTGGGACTACCCGTATTCAGGGAATCAAAATGCTCGACCTCAGGCTAGACTGAATACTGAATTAATTGCATGTAGATTAAAAACAAAAAAAATTATGAGAAAACAGCTAAAAAATGGGTTGTAAATGATTTAGTGAAAACTCCCAGTTACAGCAGATGTGCTCTTGCCAATAAAAACCAAGTAAGCAATAACGCTGAGTGATTTCAAAGAATCATTTAGTTTGGAAAAGACATTTGAGATCATTGAGTCCAACTGTTAACCCAGCACTGCCAAGTCCACCACTAAACTATGTCCCTACATACAACATCTACCAGTGTCTTAAAGACCTCCAGGAGTGGTGACTCCATCACTTCCCTGGGCAGCCTGTTCCAATGTTTGGCCACTCTCTTGGTAAAGAAATCTTTCCTAATGTCCAACCTAAACCTCCCCTGGCATAACTTGAGGTTGTTTCCTCTTGTCCTGTCACTTGTTACTTGGGAGAAGAGACCAATCCCCACCTCACTACACCCTCCTTTCAGGCAGTCGTAGAGAGCGATAAGGTCTCCCCTCAGCCTCCTCTTCTCCAGGCTGAACCACCACAGCTCCCTCAGCTGCTCCTCACAGACCTGTGCTCCAGACCCTTCACCAGTTTCGTTGCCCTTCTCTGGACACGCTGCAGCACCTCAGTGTCTGTCTTGCAGTGAGGGGCCCAAAACTGCACCCAGCATTCAAGGTGCGGCCTCACCAGTGCCCAGTACAGGGGCACGATCACCTCCCTGCTCCTGCTGGCCACACCATTGCTGATACAGGCCAGGATGCTTGAGGAAGACTTCAAACTGAAGTAACACATGAGTTTAGCCAAAGTATAGCTCATACCATAGCAAGAGGTAAGACAACCCCATTTAGGAAGAGAGGCTGCCAAGCTGTACCTGAATAATGGCTACACAGTGCACAGTAACAGCTGAACAAAGATATCCAACACCCTCTTGCATTAACACTGCCCATTCACAAGCCACACTGTTGACAGGTACTGGGCACAGCATTTCTTCTGCGGGCAGCACTAAACCACAACTGCACTGCAGGGAGTGGGAGGGAGAACAGAAATTCTGCTAATGGTTTTATTAGAGTCTGTGTTTGATCTAGTCATCTTCAACAAATAAAATAGAAGATCTAGTCAAATATATTCCAAATATAAATTTTATCAACTCAAACCATGTTTCAAGTCAAATTCCCACACTGTTAACTTGCTCAGCCTACTGTATTTTCAGTAGCGAATCAGATTTTTATGAGTTTGTTCAAGTCACTAGACAGTTCTCTTCCATTTTGCAGTGATGCTTTAACGCCCTGGCCCAGGGCCTGGCAAAGCAGATGAGATGTTTCAGACCTGGTCAACTGCTGGTGCCTGGACACTTCCCTGACTCGTCTATGGAATCATGACTGTGTGTGCTTAAAGCCTCTGGAGTCTAAGCAGGGGCTAAACAACATGAATTTGCACTGGGCTCTCCAGGCATAGCTCTGCACAATCTCTCACTAGAAATATTTTCTGAAACTCAGGAGCTGCTGCCCCTGAGCCTAATGTTTACCAGACTTCCTAAGAGCTTCAACAATCAGGAAACATAAGACCCCAGGTCCTTCTGAAGAAAACCAAACATTTTACACACACACACACAGATTTCTCTACACATTAAACACATGAATTCTGCAAGCAATTTATAATGAACATAAGCAAAAACATGGAGGGGGAAGGTTCTGACTCACTACCCAACATCCAAAATGACAACAAAGCATCATTAACACAGAACCACTGGTTGCTAGACTCCACTCAAAAACACTCTTTGACAAATCTTCCTCCAAAAAAAACATTTCAAAAAAGCACACCGCTATCGTAACACACTGTATCTTGATCACCCAATGGAATACGTACGTTAGGTAAGTTCAGGGCATCAGCTAGCCCTTTCATCTTTAACTTCTGTGAAAGTACTATTCTGAGACTTGAGTCAAAGCTTTCCAGGTTAAGTACCAGAGGACAGATCAACTCTGGTGACACTCTGGTGGGCATCCAAAGACCACCAGACCAGAATAGGGAGTAGCTGAAAATTTTAGATAGCTGGAAAAAGCCTCTTGATAGCAAACCCTGGCAGACTTCATCTCAGCCACTCCGGCAGCAGCTGGAAGTGCAGTAGGGTTGCACACAAGCAACCCAGATTTATGGAGACCATCAAGGCCAGTTTCTTGACACAGGTGGTCAGTGAGCCAACTGAGGGAGATGCTCTGTTGGATGCATTACTCAAAAAAACCTCAAAGAAAACTGATCAAAGGTAGAAAGGTGAAGGCATCCTTTCCTCCAGAGACTGTGAAGTGTAAGGTCCTCGACTGCCCGTGCAGTAAAGCAATCAAACTTTATCCGGAGCTGTACCAACAAAAGCAGAGCCAGCAGGTCGAGAGAAGGGATCCTTCTCCCCTGTTTGACACTTTAAAGACACCTGCATCCAGTTTTGGCTCCCCAGTGTAATGACAACATTGACATACCTGAGAGCATCAACGTAAGTACAGAGGGGACTGAAGGACAGGACACAAAGAGACCAAGACCCAGGTTGATTCAACCTGGACAAGGTGAAGGGAGATTTATTGCTGCCTATGACTACTTAATGCAAGCACATAGTGAAGACTGAGCTAGACCTTTCTCAGAGCTCCAGAGGGATAAAATGAGAAGCAATGAGCATAGGCTGCTACACAGGTAATTCCAGTCAAATGTACAGAAAAATATTTTCATCTAGAGGGTGGCCAAATATTGGGAGACAAGCCTAAGGTGGTTACATGATCTCTGTGCCCAGAGACAACTGAAACACTTGCACAAGCTCATCTCCAACCTGATCTAACTGGCCCTGGTATAAGGACAGGGATGAACCAGAGACATTCAGGGGACCCTTCCTAACTAAACTGTTTATGAATCCACAATCCAACAGCAGAATTACAACCCTGTACTTCACGATAGCAGATGTTCAGCTGAGAAATGGGTTTAGGAAAGTCAAACCCCAGCTAGAGGAAACTAATGAAGAGTAAGAACAACACCCAATCCTTGTTTTCCTATTGCACTTGTTCTACTACAATGACATTTTCTATCATTATTCTCTGCCACATGCAGCTACATATGACACTACATGACCATCACCTACATTTCAACGTGCACTGCAACCATCTGTCTGTATAGAGCTCAGTGTATACATGTAAGTTTAAAAGAGAATCTCCATTACCAATTGCAGAATCATTTATGGTGGCTTTGTGGGACCCAAATGCAGTTAAAATTGGTGCTTTTTATAGGTCAATGCAAAACAGAGCAACACCTTGTTTACTCATCCCTTTTTCCTCTTCCAACAGTTCGTACTCTACACCATCTGTTTTAATTGCTGACATCACACCTGGTGCTTGGACATGAACCTCAGAGCACTTCACACATGTTTTAACATCATACCAAACCTTTCATTTTCTTACACCCAGGTGGCCTGCTGTATTATGTTGACTGAAGAGGCAAGGGAGCACTTCCATGACATATATAGAGATAAATCTGTGTTGGCAGAGGGGAAGAGTGTTTTTCCTGTAATATTCAGACCTTCAAATATTAAAGTAATCTGAGGAGCAGCTTTTCCCAGCTCAAGTATATGATGCAGGCTAGCCACAGCACTGGCATTCGCCTTGAGGAAACCCCATGGGGATACATTAAATATTTTCAGTAGCTTAAGGATCACACAAAATTAAACAAACCCCAAAGCCATCTCACCATACAAAACATGTCAGGCCACAGTCAGATCTTTAATAAAAGCACTTTGAGTCAGTGACAAACAAGATACAGCAGACATGACAACTCAGAAAAATCAACTTGGGGGTAGAAGTGTGCTGCTGGTGTTTTCAGAGGATCGAACAAGGTCCCTAAACCTAACTGTCCCCTTAGGTGCTTCTCAGCCATTCACAACACTAGAAGGCTGCTAAAAAAAGTCATTCTTGCCTCACCCCTCCTCGAGCTGGTATGGAAGAACAGAAGGGTCTTTCTTCTGAACAAAACGAATGGAGTAAACTCACCCAGAAAAAAACTCCAGCTCTCATCTCTGAGGAGGAGGTTAAGTTGATTTTATAGGAAGACCACCAAGCAACCTATACTCCTCCCTACTTCCTCCAGTTTCACCACATGCACTCCAGCTAGGGCACCTTTGTGGAGAGAAGCCTGCCACCACTGCCAGCCTCCTAACATGATTCATCAAATTTGAGCAGGGCACAGCAGAAAACAGCTTCTACAGTTTCTCCCTGTAGAAACCTCATCTTCTTGGTCAGTCTGTTCAAGAAGGCTGCTAAATCTTGTCAAACATGTGGCTGACGATCTTCTGTCCTGCTCCCCTTATTGGGACACATTAGGAGCCAATAAAAGGTACATAGGATCCTTTTCACCATAACATTAGCTAAGTAACCAATTCTAATTCCAAGAGTCAGAGAGATCCTCTTTCACTAACAAATAAGGCCCTGAAGCTTCCTTGGTAAGGGGAGGGGTTCTGCAGCACAGAGGAATATGGCAAAAGGCTTGTTCTCAGAAGCCCAACACACACAAGAGCTTTGGAAGGTTGTATCCCTGCACTTTGGTCTTTGGGTAGTGCCACCTGCTCAGTATCTGTAGTGGTCTGGCTTGAATGGCCCATCTCTTGGTAAGCCTAGGTATTTGGCCTGCTTGTCACTGAGCTTAGTCAGCTTCACACACAGTTTATCCAGATGAGCAGCAGCCACAGCTTCATCCAGCTGGAAAACAAAACAGTGAGACAAGAATATTAGCAGAACAGAGTCCTATGGTTCAGGAAGTCATGGTCAACAGTGAGAAATGAGTATGTGAAAACCAACATCAGCCCCAAGGAGGACTTAGACTGACACAGATGAACAGTCCTGCCAATGTACCTCACCTGCTTGAGCACAGAGGCATCTGCTTTGAGCACAGAACTTCGTTCAGATGGAAACACCCCACGCTTTTGAGGGAGTCAAGTTAAGCTTAAGTAAGATGGACAGCTTTAAATAATCAAGCCCTTTTCAATCTCATTTACACATTCACATCCAACAAGTAAAGAACAGAGCTCAAATTATTCACAGATAAGAATATCCAGTTTGATAGAATGGTTATGTTTCTACTACAAAGACACCTGGACATACTAGACTCATACTACAATTTTAGAGACGCTCTAATACTGGAAAAAATGCAACTCCTTTCCAGAAATCCCATCTTAGGGGTACATGTATTAAGAAATTCATTCCAGAATCATTATTCATCAAGAACACAAGTATCTATGGGCATTGTCTTAATGAAGACTAAAGCCAAGGTGGGCTATAGGACATAGGCTCAGAAATGTTGATATACTTTATCCCAGAGGTGTCAAGCAGAAATGCAAAGTCAAGGGATGGAAAAAAAAATGTGTACAGTTACAAGACAGTTAAGTGCCTCAGGAGACAGGTACAGAAAAGACGACAAATCGTAAAATGGCAAACTAGCTGCTATGTCAGAGGAGAAGGCACAACCATAAAGGATATTCAAAGACAGAAGGACAGCACTAAGAAGGGATCAGGTGCTGCTGAGTTACAATAGAAGGATCAGTTTGATGACCATTTGTAATTCCTGCAAAATACAAGTAATCACCGCTAAGGAAACAGATAGAAAGTCTAAATTCCAGCAGCACAGTAAAGACTGGCAATATTTCGTCCATACTAGTTAAACAGATGTGAAAGTTTGCAATATATTTGAAGGGCAATAAATCAACAAAACAACCAAGTACCAGATATATATATTTGAAGGGCAATAAATCAACAAAACAATCAAGTGCCAGATACGCAGCTTGTGTGAACCAGCACGTCCTAAATGATTCAATAACTAGTCCTAGATTTCCCACTCAAAAGGAGTGTGGTAACAAGCAACTACTCTGAAGTAATCCCATTGTAATAAACCAGGTAAAAAGCTAAAATCTGTACAAAGTATAATTCACTGCAGCACAACCTGCTCATAGTAAGTATTATGGAACTGCCAACACCTCTTGAGAATCAACAGAGCCAAAATTAAAAATATAAGATGAAGTGGTCAAAGAATGTGGAAGTGAACCATGAAAGCTACTGAACACTATGTAAGAGTCAGGAAAATCACAGAAGAAAAAGCTACCTGGAAGGACTGTGTTTAGAAGGGAAAGAAGTATTTAAGCTTAGTAGATTCTGCCAGGAAAAAAAAGGATGCTAAAAATTGAATGCATATCTGGTGACTAGACTAACACGTGACAATCTGATAGGTGCATTTCCAACAAGTTTAAGACACATTACACCCACTTGAAGAGGAGCAGAGTCCCTGACATTTCCCAGATCAGGTTCTCAAACTGCAGTAGAGAAGTTGTTTCACAGCTGCTTCAGCCTGGGGACTTCCAACTTTTAGATAAAAAAGTACACAAGTTTAGATGAAGGTAAGATGACATTCTTAGCTCAAAAATCAGACAGCTGAGCATAAGGATGGACAGGTTTGGTGCCAAGTACATGGGCACAATAGTTAGCCTAGTTCTCCAGGAACACACATTGCAGAAATGTGTGCACGTTTGTAATAGCTGATCATCAAATCAATATTCTTGCAGTTAAAGAAAGGTACTTGGTAATTCTTCAATTCCACATTTGGACCTCAAAGCCTCTACACAGAACAAGGAAAGATACTATCCAGAAGGTTATCAGAGGAAGTTCTTCTGCTCGTCTTTTGCTGGTTCTAACAAGGCAACTGCTTTATTCTTTGAAATACTCTGTGGAGCACAGAAGGTTAAAAGAGCATTTTGTCACTGTCTATGAACCAGAAGATATCACTGCCATGTGCTCCACTAACATGCAACTCTAAGTAACTGATCTGGGCACCACTTCTGATTTCCAGTTAAGTATGCTTACTAAAAATTGTTATTCAGGAAGAGGATGAAGCCACATTTTATTAGCAAAACTGGACTACCATTTTCAAGAGAATTGTCAACAAAACTTTTCCTTTGAAGATGATTATGTGTCAGCTTGCTGATCAACTCCTACACTGTATTTCTGGTATGCTTTGCTTGATCATTAACAGATGGTTTTGGAAGCTTAAGTCCTTCAGCAATCACCTCGTAAGTAAGCCCAAACATACACATTCTACTTCCCAAATGAAAAGTATTTTCACATTTAATCTCACACCTGGTTGCATTCCAAAGGCAGTGGGATTTAACTCCAGCATCTTTTTCAATGACTAATTCTCAGGCTTGTTTCAGAAAATTAAAACCAGGTTAGTTTTCTAAAAGGAATTTGAGTTGTGACATGATCCAGATTTTTCCCAAGAACAAAGAATGCAGAGGTAAGTTTAAAGGGAAACTGGAGGGAATCTGTCAGAAATATTTTGTGAAGCTATTAGGACCAGATTGTGATAAGCTCTGCTTAGGTGCAAATGGGACTCAGACTCTACCAACCTCAGTAAAAGTGATTCCTAGTTTCACTCCAGCTTCAACTCTGCCCCACTAGACCTGGCTGCTGGATAGGTATATGTAAGCTTGCTGTGAACACTGACATTCAGCAGAACGAATAAGTTGGCTGGGAGAAGCTCCCTGACTACCCTGAGGCAGTACAGGGCTTCCCAGCACCTTCAGGAAGAGCCCCAAGTCAAGCCAAAAAGTGACTGGATGTTCCTATCACAGGACAGACAAGTCCCAGTTCTGCACAACACGTTAGCCACAAAAAACAGCCCACTTCAGACTCAGCATGACCAAAGCCAAGCATTCACTGAAGGACAGAAGCTCCTTGCAACAACACCATTCAATACAAAAATGAAGTCAAGCACAAACGAAAAATCTACATGATCACATCTGAAGTTGGCTTCCTTACAAGCTGGCATCTTCCTGCTACTCTAACTCACCTTCTTTGGCAGGAAATGGACTCCAACAGAGTATTTGTCACTATTGGTCCACAACTCGATCTGTGCCAGCACCTGGTTAGTGAAGGAGTTGCTCATAACAAAGCTCGGGTGACCCATGGCACAGCCCAAGTTGACCAGCCGGCCCTCCGCTAGCAGTATGATGTGACGGCCATTCCTCAGCGTATAGCGATCCACCTGGGTGGGAAAAAGCAAGAGCAGTGCGATGTCAGGGTGAAGAGAGTACTTCAAATCATGCAAAGCTTTGTGGGCTTCCTTCCCACATCAATTCAGCAGTGGGTTTGCAACATGGACTTTGATTACAATTGAGACACCCCTCCCTCAATTCCCAGCCAGTGTTCACGAAGCCTGCAGCTATTCTGGACTTTACACAACACAAAACTTAGCATCTGCTTCATATTTAACCAGGTATCCAGCTCTGGCTTTTCCACATGCACGTTGTCTCAGATGGCTGTGGTGGGGAGCATGCTGCTAGTAGTAAAATGCAGCTCATATATGCCTAATTGTAACAACTGGTGTAGAGAGACAGAGGAGAAGAGGGAACACCTCTGCATGCAACAGTCCAGAGCCTTTGCATCTAACACAGGGGTAAGAGCCAAAGTCCTCAGCCTCAGCTTGCTGAAACTGCTCCCCGTAGCTCTTCCCACTTCTGTAAGGCCAGTGCTTTACAGTATAATAAACAGCTGTCCTAGCTTCTGGTGTACCCTCCTCTGCTCTCAGGGGGCAAAGACATGGTCTTCCACTCAGACCAACTTCTTAAGCTATGCTGGGGACAACAGGACACTGCACACAGAATCAAGTCTCAGCTGGGCTAAAGAGACTGGTCTTCAGCTACATGACAGTTCCACACCATTCAAGAAATAATGTCACTTAATAGGTGCCTCAACTGTCTGGGCCAGATAGGGCTCCTGCAACATTAAAGTTAACTCTACTTCTCCTTTCCACCAGTCACTAGCTCTTCTCTCCCCTGCCTTCACCCCTGTAGGAGGTTACAGTATTAAAGCCCAGGATGAAACACCAATATGGCCTGGAAGTTACAAGAATATTCAGTGTTCACTGGTATTTACCATTCATGTCACACAAAGGATGTGGGAGTAGAGCAAACCTTTGGAAAGACTTAAAAGATAATCAATGACCGACTTTGACAAAGGTTAATGCTTTGGACAGGTCCATTCATCTTATGCTGTCATAGCACAGCAACTGTGAAAAACCTAAAAGGGTCCCTCCCCACAGCTGTATTTATACTTTTAGTCTCAAAAGTTATTTAATACGAAGCAAACCACATCACTTTCAGTTTTATTCTTAAAGCTTTGGCCTGTAAATTAAAAGCCATGTGGGATGAAGCTTTACCTGTAACAACCACCATAGTTTAACCCCACTGGCAACTAAGCATGACACAGCCATTCACTCACTCCCCCCAGTGGGATGGGGAAGAGAATCAGAAGAGCAAAAGTGAGAAAACTCACAGGTTAAAGGTAAGAACAGTTTAATAGGCAAAGCAAAAGCCGTGCACACAAGGAAAGCAAACCAAGGAATCCATTCCCCACTCCCCATCAGCAGGCACGCATGCAGCCATCTCCAGGACAGCAGGGCTCCATCACACATAATGGTGACTTGGGAAGACAAACACTGTAACTCCAAACGTGTCCCCCCTTCCTCCCTTCCTCCTCCAGCTTTATATGCGGAGAATGATGTCACACGGTATGGAATATCCTTCTGGTCAGCTGGGGTCAGCTGTCCTGGCTGTGTCCCCTCCCAATTCCTTGTGCATCTCCAGCCTCCTCGCTGGTGGGGTGGTGTGAGGCAAAAAAGGCCTCTGCTCTCTGCAACCACCGCTCAGCAGCACCAAAAACATCTCTGTGTTATCGACACTGTTCGGAAGACACTTCTGAAAAAAACACCTCTGGTTTTTAGCAAAGATGCAATAAGTAAACCAATAGAAAACATTTTATTAGAACAGGTATTTTGCCCTCAGAGCAGTCTGCGCCTTCACCTGTCTTCCCCAGCTATGCTTAAATCACAGCACTATTTTCTACTTCTTGGGTTTATATAACAGATTATTGTGTTTCCAATGCAACATATGCGGACAGTAACCACCTCAAACAGAAGCCCTATCTCCCATCCAAGAGCAGTACAGCAAGACAGGGTTAGTAACAATGCTCTCCACTGAGCAGCTGCAGTTATTTCTTATGGATGCTGATCATTCATTGTGGATGACCAGCGACAGGGCTCAGTCCACCCGAAAAATACCATACGGCTGTCGTAAGATTATGGGAGGAAGTAAGGAAACACAGCTCGCACCTGGACAGCTGCTGCTTGTGCATGGAATCACATACCTTCAGCAATCTGCTGACACGACTCATTCAATGCACAGGGTAATGCAGAAAATGCAAATGAATGCCCTTGCACAGAATAAATACAAAATAGTAGTGGTACCAGCAGAGGCTTAAGTTGGTACTGTGAAAACACATCTCACCTATGGGCAGATAAACAGACCAATTCCTAAGCTCAAGACATTGCTACAGAAGAAGAATTTAAGTTCTTCAAGCATTAAGTTTATCTCCACACTTACACAGATGCCTCCTCCCTTTCACCATTGGCATTTAGCTTGCTCTGGACTTTCTGGCTGCTTTGCACTTCCCTTCGCATCACAGTACATAACTCATTTTCAGAGCCAAAGCTCATTGGTCCCAGCCTGACCTTTTCTTCCCCTCTAGAGTTGAGCTTGTGCCACACATCAGTCTCCAACACCAGAACACAGCCAAGCAGGACTGCAGTGCAAACCTGTATTCAAAACAACCTGCCAGCTTTCCAATAGTAAGCCTCTTTCCTCCTGAACTGTGCTGTGAAAGCAACAGATGAGACAGAATGGCACAGTAAGATGTTTTCCTTTCCCAAATACTAAACATTTCTTATCCCACTTCTTACCACTTGTAAATGGAGACCATACAGTACTGAAAACTACCACGCTGGACATTTTCACAGTTACTCTGTACCTCTGGCTGAAGACTAGCAACCCTCAGCTCTGGTATTAATCCTCCAAGAGACAGATGTCTTCATGGGAGGTTAGAGATTCTTGCTCTTCTACTATACTCCCCTCCCTGCTACAGCATATAGAAAAAGCTGACAGGTCTTAGTAAAAATTTGAATATTTAGAGAGTTAGTACTTGGTATTATGAAACAGGATACCTCACCAGGAACACTAATGTGAAAGCACATACGTTATTTTAAGGATAAGTGCAAGATCTCACACCTATAACACAGGACTGACCTCCCCTTGAGGCCCCCCAAAAGACTGGTGATAAGATGACCACAGAACTGTCCCTTTGATGAATCTGAGCAACAAAACTGAGAAGTCAGCAATGGCCTAAGTGGCAAACTGATAATTTCCTTCCCAGGTTTCAGTGTAAAAGCAACTCTACTAATTACTGTAATGACTCATCACTGCTGCCCTGAGAAAGGTCTCAACACACACAGACGTATTCCCAGGCAGCTGGAGACAGACAGAAGCTGCAGGATACCTCCTAGGAGCTTCTTTCTAAACCTAAAGTTAATGCATGTCCTGGAAGAGTTAAGCAATTGCAGCAAAATTCTACTCAGCACCTTTAAATTTGTTTCAGGCATGGAATTCGGGGCTCTAAAGTCACATTTTGCCTCCCAGTCCTGCCCCTCCCCCTTTTAAAACAAGTAAGCTTTTAGGATGTGTATTAGTCCGCTCCTGCTCAACTGCCCAGCCATCATGGCAATCAGGCACAGAGAATGAAAATGAAGAATAACAGAACTTTTACACAACAGAACTTGTTCACATGGCACCTGCTCAGCAGGTACTTCCTTACCTCATCATGCAGGTCTGAGGTCTTTAGGGACAAGAAATCTAAACAGACACAAAATGGAGCACAGAGGTATACCACTAGCACAGTGCAGCTGCTTATAGCATTAAATACACCAACAACAGAGCCCAACTGGAGACTCACAGTGCTTCAGATTCACTGCTAAAGTCAACAAAATCCAAGTACTAACCTGAGTCAGGGACCAGCTTTTATTTGGCTTGGCAATGTACGCATCTATAGGCCATCTTTGCTTCAGTAAAGCTTCAAACATGTGGAATGGCCATGTAAGATCAGATTTACCTCTAGGTACATCCCATCTCCAGTGGTAAACAGTAGACAGGTAAGGAAAAGTACCAGAACAGCCCAATGGTTATGTGCTATTTCCCCCAGTAAATCCACTCAGCTTCAGCTATCTATGCATCAAGCTGACACAGAGGTGGTTCACCCAGGGCTGTCAGATACCTTTTACAAACTTTAGCTAATGACTTTTAAGCAAGCACACTTGTGGCACCCACAGCTTGCTGGACAGCTACATTCACAGCTTTTGGTCTGTGAGCAAGTATCTCCCCTGCACCACTGAACATCCTGCTTGTGACAGCAGCGTTTTACATAACAGACCAGAGAGGTTCAGGGCGGGAGGCAGGTCTTCAGCATTACACCATATGGATGACCTTAACCCCAGTTCCATCCTTTTGAAAAGGAAATATTCTTTTTTTAACCAGAAACTTGTTACAGTTTTCACACCTTGGACCAGACTGCATCTCATTGCACTCAATACATCTGTGACAGACTGGCTCCTTCAATACAGAGTATATAAAGAAAAAGAGACTACTACCTCTGCCAACAGCGACACAATTTTTCGTATGGACTTTAAGAGCCACGTTGAATGGCCACGCACAGGTACTTTGCATGATACCATACCAACACCCAACTTAGCCTTCTGCAATGTTTACTTTTTGAGCGGTGCGAGTTTTAGTTTTAAAACCCAAGCTACAGGAAAGCAAGCAGCAAGCTGCAGGCTTCTCTAGGACAAGAGCTGTTGAGCAAAGTCAGCTCCCCACTAAGGTCATGGGCAAGAACAGACTCGAATGTAGTGAGAGCTTGAGGGCATAACTTCATACCTAGTTGAGCCCATGCAGAGCGTCCCAACAGCAAACAGAACATTGAAAAGACTCTCACGACTGCTTAGTAAGAGTTTGATGTGGGTGGCCAACAAGCCACAAGGGAGTAATGAAAATTAGAAGGGCAGATTGGCATCTATTAAGACATATGCTTGGGTGTGGTGTTTTTTAAAAAGTAGAAAACCTGTCCCAGAATCCTACTATCAGCAAGCACACTCCCTCCTTAAAAGATAACTAGAGGTCCCATATCAAGTCAGATAAAGCCTGGTTTGCTTTACGTGATGTTCTCCCTCAATGCAGGCGTTACAAAACAGTTTTGGTTTAGTTTAGTTTTGTTTCTCTGCTTTAGGAAATGCAGCTGAAAAGCTGAAATGTTTAGATCCCTATTTTCCTGTGTAGTTACAGCCATAGCCTGAAGTAACTACATGATGGGAATACAAGCTGAGCAAGTATAAAACACCTCGCCTTGTCTGCCCACACATAGACTTCTGGTCTACACAGGTTTCTAAAATGAAGCCACTAAGTCTGGAAGAGAAGTCTGAGTTTGGCAGAGCTCCAGATAGGCTTTCCTGAGTCTTCAACCTGAACTAAAAGAGAAAAACTTTGAAAACAAAGAGGTGTGAATTTTTTCAAACCCTGTCAGAACGCCAAAAGACATTCCCTTCAGATTCACTCTAATCCTGGCACCCTGCACCAGGACCAAGATTGTCCTGGTGCAGAGCAGTACATGAGCAAGCAGCTTCACAAGAGAAAAGTCAGATCAGCCTCCAGGCAATCTATGGGCTTAGTTCTTAAAGAAGTTTTATGCTGACTAATGGTCTATTCTGTATTCATCATTTAATTTCCTTTTCGAAAGCAAGTTATGGCATTGTTTTCAGCTTGGGGCTAACAAAGAAAGCATATTCCCATACCTCCTCATCATGCCCCAAGTGTCAAAGCTGACTTCCTGTAAGGAATTCGATGCAGTTAATTGTCTACACAACCTCCACTAAGGAGTAGGCTCCTGTTTGTCAAGAGAGTAGGAACAAATGGAGAAAGATGCATTCACACCAGGTGCCTTTTACCAGAGACCGTGCTGTGCTCTTGGGCACTGGCTGGAACCAACTGCTATAATACCAACACAAAAAAATGTTCCACATCAACTAGGGAAGAGAATCTCCATTCTGATCAGCCCAGAGCAACACTTGGCTTCCAAGAAAGCTAGAAACACAAAGTACCTGAAGAGAAACAATCCCCTATCTGGAAACAGACACTGAGCAACTACTGCTTCTTTCTAGCAGGAGGGCTTGGGCAAGGGCTGTCTCACCTGAGGTTTAACATTCACTGCCTCTACTGCATTTTCATTCAGCCACTTTGCATCAACTTCCACATCAAAATGACCAATATTACACACTATGGCATCATCCTTCATCTGCTCAAAGTGCCTGCAAAAACAAAAGTTACATCAAAAGTTAATGCACAAAAAATTTCTTCTTCAGCCCCAGAAGATGCTCTGGTCCCTAGCTCTGCTCAAGGACAAAGGAAGTGTGCCTGGCTCACTGACCGCCTTTGACTTTCACAAGACATGTGGGTCTAGTAATCTTCCAGGCATGTGAAGTCTACTGGAAAAACACTTTCAAGCTTCTAGGGAATGACACTTCCCAAAGATATAAGAGGCTATTGGAGAGAAAATATTTTCCCAGTATGGGAAGTAAAACTGTATCGGTCAAAACTAAAATATCTGCACAGAAGAAAGTTTTTCATTACTTTAACGTTTCCAGCAGTTTTACATCTCTGGAGAATAACAGCCTTATCTCCTCCCACTTGATTTGATCCTCCACTACAAAGCGTACAATCATAATGGCAAAGATCAGAATGAGTTTGTGTAGAGTGGAGGGGCTATAAATTGAGATCTAAGAAGTGGTAACAAAAACTGCAGGGTAGTTTGAGAACAGGCTCATTTCAAATCTGCCATGTGTATTCACAAATGGAATCACTTTCAACCTTTACTTTTTAACCTTTACCTACCTCTTGTTCTGTTCACATTTACCTGTCCTAACACAGAACTTAGCCCTGATGCTCTCATTCTCCAGAAGTCTGTCTATCCCTCTACACCTTTTGTTTCTCCATCGTTACATGCTGTAAGACAGGAACAATTGCAAGGTGGCAACATCTAACAGAACTGAAAGACCAAAACCCTGATTTCTCACTAAATGGATGCTAAATTCTGATGTCCAGAAATGAGCCTGTGTGCTAACCCTCAACATACTGCTGACAAGTTACGATTGAATTTATAACATCTAACTGCACAGGTATGCTTTCAACAAAACAAGTGGCTAGACCGTACCTGCCCTGAACAATGTCAGTGCAGCCAGTGGTGGTAACAAAGATATTGCCTTCTTTGCAGGCCTCCTCCATGGTTGTAACTTCATAACCTGAAAAGAGAAAAAGTTATTCCTTTACCCAACCACCAGTACTTATTAAAAAATGAGATGTAATACTAAAAGTAGAAAAGTACAGAGAAAGATTGAGTAAGAGAAGTCTGTGCCAACACCTGACCTGTGGAGGACGCAAGGTAGTGGGCATACTTGTCTTACTGAACACCAACATCGCACAAAAATATCTATCTCTCGCCTGTTCCCAATCTGTAGATCTCTATGTTCAATGTCTTATGTCCACAGGTGCACCAGCTGGCACAGACTGGATTCGGGGGGTCAAGTTTGCAAAGGGAAGCACACCCACAACAGCTGCATGTTCTAGTCAGGTATTAAGAGAAATGGGATAAACTGGTGCCAAGAAGCACAGTTACATGAGGCACCTACAGCAGAGAAGGAGCACAGCTTCCAAAGCATGCTGTGAGCACAGCTGGAAAAGCAGAAAGCATGGCATTGCTCTCCAAAAGCATCTACTGAAGGTAAGGCCTGGGGTTTCACTGTGGAGATATTCTAGTGAAGCGTTAACCCACTCCAGAGGATGGAGTTGTACAACTTGAAGATAATGAACCCATTCAAAACCAGGCTTACATCATTACAAAATGGGGGCCTTACCCCACTATAGTCTCTATATCCTTGACTCCAAAACACATCTTCAAGGCCTGTACTAATAAACTTCTTCCCCCACTGCAAGGGAAGAATTCCTACAGTTAAACTGGAGTCACCTCTACCTCAACAGGGATAGGACTGAAACCCACTTGGACAGCTATCATTTACTGCTCTACACTGACATGCAGAGACTCCCATCAGATGCAGTAATTCCTGCATCTCCTTCAGTTCTCACCTTCCATGGCTGCCTGCAGTGCGTTGATGGGATCAATTTCAGTGATGATGACTCTGGCTCCAAAGCTCCGCAGAGCCTGAGCACAGCCTTTGCCCACATCACCATAACCTGCCACGACTGCTACTTTTCCAGCAATCATGACATCTGTAGCACGTTTGATGCCATCGATGAGGGACTCTCTGCAACCGTAAAGGTTATCAAACTTGCTCTGAGGAAGAAAAAGGAGCAGTTTCAGAACAGAAGTCACTCAAGTAAAAATTCCTTAAAGAAACAAAATGGAATTATAATGCAACTACTACAAACGAGGAGGCTGACAGTCAGCTAAATACTTTAATCATAATGAGAGACATGAACAAGATAACCTGATTTGATGTTTTTATTTATCCAGTTTCAATCTATAGTCATACCAGATACTGGCTTCAGCACACCCCTGGCAAGAAGCATTTCATAAATATGTTGTGTCTACTGACTAGAGCCTGGACATGTTTAAAGCTTGTTAGATGTAACCTGAATTTATCAAGTAAAAGCATAAACAATTCTTGTGTAGAGAGGTAGGATCTTTCATATGAGACCTACCTTGCAGCTATGGCTGGTGCCATCTAGCATGTGTAAGGTGATGTTACAGTTTGATTTTCAGTCTACAGCTTACAGCTGTAAGATTCTTATAATAAAAACACGCAAAATCCATGTATAAAAGTGTTGCGGCTATGACTCCAACGCATTATCTACACGAGTGATGTGGCATATTGCTCCCAGCCTCAGAAGCTGGCCAAGGACCAATGTGTAAGAAGTCACACTTCAGATCCAGAAGTTCCTGACTCAGTGCCTTATCACTTACATCTTATTACAGGCACATTTGTCATTAATACTTCAGAAAATTTGTTTTATCAGTCCTTCAAATTCCAAAGCTAGTGCCAGTTGGTAATCTCTTTTCTAGTCCTCCAGCAAGTTTTCCTTGCAGTATAAGCTTTCTTAAAGAGGAAAATAGCATGGTCAGATTTGATTCCTCATCACCAAATGCCCCAATTGCAATCAAAACCTTTCATGTTCCTGTGCGTTCCCATGCAGGCAAGGTAGCAGAGTGCCTGATGCAGACCAAAAATACATCTGAGTGGCAGGAGGGGAGAACAGAACTGGCTGCTGTCTGCCTTCTCTCTCTAAATGCTAGTATAGGAACCTGGCACCAACTGAAAGTACCAAACTAGGAGAGCAGAATTTGTCAGCTCAGTTGCATATCTTCCTGGAAAATAAGCACTTGTTGGGCACTAGAATAAAATAAGCTCAACCCAAATCCACTCAAGAGGCTTTTTTAGAAACATCTGAATTTCCAAATCTACTAAACAGTATTAACAGTTATTATGCAAGGAAGCCCAAATCTAGGTGAAAAGGATGCAAAGAAACAAGCTTCTTCCAAGATCAACTGGATTCCAAGCCCACTAGCTATGAAATAAAAGTGCCAGATGCACCTTTGTGGGCAGGAGATATTCTTCAGATAGCAAACTGCAGAGAAAGTAGGCCAAAGAGTCAGTGAGAAATGCCATGCCCAAGAGGATAATGTTAGTATGGTAACTTGAAATAGATTTAGCAACTAGATTTAAAAAAAAAATCTAGATGCAGAAACCTTAAGTACACCTGAAATTCCTACTATAATTCACCAGCACCCAAAATGTACCAGCACCCTTTAAACACCATTCCCCCTCATCCCTCAGTTCACCAGGATTTGTCTTGGGAAGCAGTAATATAGCCCAGCACAGAATAAATCCCTCTTGCCCTATCCTTTGCAACTGCAGCTTGCAGAGATACCTTGTCAGATCAACCAACCCTTACCAGCCACAAGCCCACACAGGTCACACTTGCTTTTTCCAGCTGGTACCTGCCACCTGCCTGTGGGCTTTAAGCCACTCAGAGTGAGGACATGCCCCTTGCCACAGGAACTGACTACGCCCCAGGAGCCATGATTTCCAAAGGTGTTTTCAGATTATTGAAATGCAGAAGAATGCACATCCTTGTATATAAAAAAAAAAAGCCCCTGATGTTATGAAAACAGAATATTTACAATGTGACATCCCATTAGAGACATCATGGGCTCACTTCAAGGATATGGTGAAAATATATTCAGTAGCGTGTCAAGAATAGCTCAGCAAAAGAAGGAATACTTGCACGGGAATGACAACATCCCAACACCAAACTGGTCAGAAAGCAGAATAGCAGAAGGGCTCTGGCTGCATTACCTTGGTGACAGAGTCATTAACGTTGATAGCTGGCACTTTCAAGGTCCCATTGGCCTTCATCTTGTACAGGTTGTGAACTCCAGTGGTTGTCTCTTCTGAAATACCTCTAATTCCTGTGCAGAGAGTAAAGGGATTCACTCGGAGTTAACACTGATACAAACCAACACATCCAGGTGCTGGGAGCATCTTCCAGAGGCCTAAGTTAAATAAACCCTTCGCAAGAAGCAGGGAAGAGAAAAATCTTCATTTGGATCCTCAAACTGTAGTTTGAAACTTCAACCCAGTTTCTTCCCCCGTAAAGCACTTAGAGCAGGACAAAATATTCTTTGGAAAAATGGAAGGGGGACCAGCTCTAGACCAGGGAATCAAGAAAACCCCCATTCTAACCTATTTTCTCACAAAATGATCAAAACACTCTCACGCAAAAAGGGCAAGATGTTCACCTCAGTGATGTTTCTACAGCCTAGTCCATTCTTGCAAGGTGGCTTGAAAGGAGATAATACCTAAATATCCACACTTAAATCTAAAGCACTTGGATCAACTGAAAAAAAAAAAGTAAAAAAAAATCAAATACACAGTTTGCCATTCCCAATCCTCCTGCTGTAATCAACTTCAGCTCTGATTAAAGAGCCAACACCCCCCCTAAATCTGGGTATCAGCTACATGAAACTTCAGTTTCATGGGTATCACTAGCACAATCAAGAAACATTATTTCAAATATATCCTTGTTTGAAAACAGTCCAGGAGGCAGAGACCAGAGACAAAGGACTGTCTAGAGACACCAATTAAGGACTAAATTCCTGATAACACAGGAACTGTCATGGGGTTACCTGGCTCCACATTACAACGAAAAGCCAAAGCTGTAAAGGAACCCCCTGCTTTAAGGATCCCAACTCTTCGTGGACTTTTTGAAAGCAGGCACTTGTTCAGAAGTGGCATCACAGTGGCACTTCTGGGCCTCTCTCCTCTCTAATGTCTCAATAATACCTCATTGTATATAAACTCTCTAGTTGCTGCACTGGGCAGCACCCCGATTACTTAGAAAGCCTATCCACATGAAGGCACTCAATTTAGGACATCAGAATAAATCCGAAACTAAACTATCCAGTCTGGCTGAATTTCCACAGTAGAGGATACGGTAATTATGTTCGTTCTTGAAGGACTGGAGACATACTGCAAGACAATTATTTTGCTGGAGCATGAAGTATTGGGGGAAAATGGAGGAATTCTGCTAAATCAGGTTGAAACCACCAACACAAGCCACATCTCTATAAAGAGATCCATGTGGCATTTGTAACTCATTCAGATTCACAAGAAAAGAAAAAATATGAGACAATTAATACCATGTTCTATGTACATCAGAGATTTATGCCCCTCCAGACAAGCGACCTTTCACACTGACCTCATAGAATAAAGGTGAAAGCAAAACAATTTTCCAGTCATTGTGATGAAATGACTAGAGTTGAAAAAATCTGAGAAATAAAAAACATTCATAAATTGTTCTGTTCAGGCCCTTTTACGGACAAAGCAGATGCCCGTCTGGGTTATGGTAAACAAGTGCACATGAGCAGACAGAAATATTGCTCCTTTTCATATTATTTTTCTTAATTCCTCTCTCTCACTGTATAACATACGATCACTTCCAATACCTACGCACACTTTTTTATCTACACTCTATCCACAGTCCTCCTAACATTTCAAAAAGGTGAGCACTAGCCTTCCTATTTCACAAACAGCAAAAGCAGAGGGGCCACAGGACTTGCCAAGACCAGCAGCCAGCAGCAACAGCAGCGCTCCTCAACCACAGCCCACGCACCTCCCCAGTGGCCAACCTTACTTCAGGGATGGGCAAGTGGGAACCAAAACAAATAACCCCCAGCAAAATCAAAACACATTATTCATTTAGTTCGTTAATTCTGGGTATCAAAGAGAAGTGTTCAAGTGTCACCACCTGCCCAGCCGCCAAGACCTATGAGAAGTTTATAGGACAGGATGAATGACTGGAGAACGACCTCTGTGAACAGCACACGCAACAGTCACCACCACTGCTGGGAGCAACAGCAGCAGCACAGCCCAAGGCGGGAACAGGAACAGCTCCCTGGCAGGCACCTGCACCCTCCGGGCACCCAGGGGTGCTCTGTCCCCCACACACGGCTCCCTAGCAGGCACCTGCACCCTCCGGGCACCCAGGGGTGCTCTGTCCCCCACACACGGCTCCCTAGCAGGCTGCAGGAGCACGGCTCCTGGGAGAAAGCAGGCGGGTGCTTTGCCCCCAACCCTTTGGGTTTCATCTGCATGGCTGGAACACGGGCCAGGGCGACAGCCGCCAGGAACTCAGTCCACCCCGTCCCAGCAAGGTGGGTGGGGGGCGAAAGGGAAATCCTGAATTTGCACGAGAGCTCAATTAAGTGAGAAAGAACAAAGCTGGTTCGAGTGACCCCCAGAGCTCACGGCTGAGGCCCCCGGAGGCGCAGCTCGCTGCCTTGCCCCG